CCCGCCTGACCGGCCTGGAGCGTGGGCAGCGTGCACCAAGGGTCTGCCGGTGCCTGGTCCCAGCTTGGTGGGGGGAGTGCTGGCCCGGTCCTGACTCTCAGAGACAGCAGGCATGGGCCAATTCTGTCTCCACCGCTCCAGGGCGGGACCCTGGCCCCTGCGGGAAAGAAATGCTGTGCCTCTCCTCCCTGCACCGTGCACTTTCTGTGGGTGGGCCACAGTGCACCACCCTGAATCTGGGCTAGAAAGGGGCTGGGCAGCCCCATGCACTGTCACCTCCAACACCAATGCCCGGAACACAACCTCTGCCATTCCCACCACCATCACCACCACCACCTCCCATTCCCCCATCAGCCCAGTACCAGCACCACCCGCTGCACTGCCATCTCCCCCATCAGCATTGTCACCTGCTCCCTCATCCCCACCATCTCCAACACCGCCTCCATCACCATCCACAGCTTTGGCACTGCTGTCCTTCTTACCCGCCACTGTTCATGTGGCCTCTGCCACCCCCTCGCCAACATCATCGGCTCCCTCCACCACTTGGCCACCCCTCCGCTGGGCAGCTGCCTTTCCCATACCCGTGCAGAAAGGCCTCCTCACGTTTGGGCGCAGCATTTGCTGAAGTGACTGTGGTGGCAGGAGGCAGCCATTGCTCTGTAGAAGCACCCGCTGGAAGTCCCTCTGGACCAGGATTTGGACCTGGAGCCAGGACTGACTTCAGAAAGTGGAGTGAGCAGGGCAGAGCTGTGCGCAGGGTCTTGGGGAGCTGAGGAGCCACATATATCTTAGAACTGGGAAAACTCATGTTGGCACCATCTTACACAACACTGCATCAACACGGCCCTTAGGGACTGGCCAGGCTCACCTTTCCCACCCACAGTCACCGGTGAAAATATTATGAAAACAGTCCACCCTCTGACCAGCCCCTCTAAAAACATCGACCCTTGCCAAAACAACGGGGGAGAGGGCACTGAAGTGGACAGATCCACTAGCAAAACAAATGGTTTCACAGAAACCAACATTCTGGCTGCTAGCAAAACATAGATCTTCATAAGAGCTTCTTCCTGAAACAGAGATGTTATTTGAAAAACACTTGCCCATGTGGACATAGTGAGCCCCTTCACCTTCTCTTCACTGTGTAGGAAAGAATGGAGTTCTTGAGGGGCAATGCCCAGGACACCATGCCTGAAATAACGGTGGGCTCTGTGTCAGGGAGGGAACGGACTGGCGGGCAGGGAGGCCTTAGAATCACAGCCAAAGGAGGGAAGGGATGGTATTTGTTCTGAAGCAAGTGGGTCCGACCAGGTGGCCCCCACACCCACTCAGGTCCAGAAGACACTTTCCTGCATATCCCTGGATCCAACCCTTGTCCAGCAGAGCACACCTGGGCCAGCCCTGAGCCCAGCCCCCTGTGACCAGCCGAGTGAGAACCCTCTATAGGCCAGTTCTCCCCCACCCCCCAGCCTCTGTCCCCTTGGTCCCCAGCCTATTGTTTGGCAAAGAGCAGGCTTGTTGAGTGGCTGGAGGGATGGAGGGATGGCTGCCTCAGCCCTCTGACGGGACCCACTTGTCACAAGGTGTGAAGTTAACAGTGACGCTGCTTGGAGATCAATGCGTTCTGAGTCTCCATGGAATCAGGACACAGGCTACACTCTAGTAAGGATTCAGTCCTGCGATTCTTAGGGGCCCCCTTTCCAGAAGGCACCCAGCATTAGGCTTCTTCTCATGTCATAGCAGCTGCATGTGCTAAGTCGTGAGGCTCTGAAAATCACAGAGTCATTCTATTGCTAAGGTCCTACACCAGCCAGTGCTGCTAGCAGGTTGGAGCTGCAGCAGCCTGCTGAGAGACATGGTTTGTGAGTATAGGTGGCAGCTGTGCCATGGCCTACGGGCCTGGCCAAGGTGGAGCGTCCACTCAGGGTGGCATGGGAAGTAAGAGGCAGCGATTCTGCAGAAGTCCCAGGTGCAGCCCTCCCTCCCCCCCCCCCCCCCGGGTGGAGTTATGGAAATGTAAAGGAAGATCCTGGTTTATTTGTCACCAGGAACTGCAACTAGTGGCTTCAGGTAGCACATCACCAATCGGCTTCTGTTCCCTCATTGGGTGAAGGGTTTGCCAGGTGGGCAACTCCTGTGAAGGTGCCCCACCCTGTGAAGGGCCCACAAGTATGTTACAAGGTTGCAGAGGCCAGGAAGGGGGTGCAGGGTCTGACAGTCGTGTCTCCAAGACTGAGCTGTTGGAGTGGTAGACAAGGTGTGCCCTTAGGGTCCCTTCCACCTGTCACCCCAGGGCCTCCTCCAACCCCTGCTGGCCTCTCACCCATGCTGCTCTGACCCCTCTGACGCTTCTTGTCTTTTGGAACACCTTGGAGCCAGTCCCAGCACGCAGAGCTGAGTGGGAGCTGAGGTGGACAGTGCCTGTGGAGCCCAGAGGGAAGGCACAGTATTAACAACGAATTTGACTGAGGGAGGTTGCATGCCCTGAACATACTGTCCCCATCCTGCCTTCCCCAGATCTGGGCTGCCATGGCTAGTCATTTCCTCCCAAAGCCTCAGTTTCCTCTCTCTGCAGTAGAGTGCCCCATCTGAGTATGCCCGTGACACATGTCCAACCATCAGTCACAGCTGTTCTGGCCGCCAGTTCCAAGCCATCTACAACACCTGCCCTGACCCACAGGGACAGCCTGGTGAGATGCAGGAAGGCCTGGTGGTAGAGTCCTTCTTCTGAACCCACTGAGCAAACCTGTGAGAGCCCAGCCGGCTCCAGGGTGGCCCAGGAGCTGCCCCTCTTCCTGCTGTAGGCGCCCTCATGGGTGCTCCCTTCCTGCTGTGCCTGGGGAGGGGCAGCAGAAGAAAGGAGATGCAGGGGTGGAATAGAGTTGGAGTCAGGGTCGAGCTGGCATTGGCCCCCCTGCCCAGACCTCCTCCCTGGCAGCCTGTGAGAGGACAGGCAGGATGGTCATTCTCTGTACAGATGAGGAGACTCAGGCGAAGAAGGCAGATCCAGGGCTCCCGACTCTCATGTCCACGTGCCTCCTAACCCTCCAGCCCAGACTAGCAGGGCCCAGTCCGAAGCCCTGCTTCCTCCGGCCCACTGCCCAGAGCGTGCAGGAGCCCCCGGAGCCTCCTCAGGGCCTCCCTCCCTTCCTTGTCCCCACGTTGTCAGCAGCTGGGCCTGGCAGCTCTGCCTTGGAAACACATCCACTTCCCAGCACCTGCAGTCAAGCCCCTGGGCCAGGCCACCGTCCCCACAAACTGGCCTCCAGCTGCTGGCCCTGCCCCTCGAGCCTGTTTACAGGGCAGCCAAGAGAGCCAAATGGGCCTCTCCCCTGCCTCTATTTCCTGCCCTTACCTGCCCCTGGCTTTAGGCTGGATGGTCTGACCCTGTGCACCTCACTGGGCAGCAAGCCTGGCAGCTGGTAATGACTCGGGTGTCCCTACTCCTTATCTCTTGGGGATTCTGTGAAGCCAGAACTTCTTAGCTAGAAGTGACCAGCTTGCCAGACTGTCTTCCCAGACAACTCACATGGAAACCTGGTATGTTCACTCCCCATGGACTTCTTCACTAATGCGTTCATCCATGTAGCATCCTGAAGTCCTGCCTGAGGCCAGGCTGAGCCTAGGGGGCAAGATGTGGTGGCAGCAGCGTGTCACTCTGAGAGTTGAAGTCACTGTTTCCTGCTTTGTTCCCTGCGCTGTCCCTGCTTCCAGGAGAGTGCTGGCTCCTGGCGGCCTCAGTCAATGGGAGTCACCCATCTTCTGACTTGGGATGACAGAACCGAGATCCTGCATCCAAACTCCCTGGTTTGTTTCAAGCACCGTTAGGCTTCTACAAAACAACCTCACCCTTTCATACAAGTTTATGTTGCACATATGTGAGCACTTCCCCATGCCTTGAGTATGTAAGAGCATGCTTTTTGGTGACAGTATGATATTTCATCCAGTCGCTGCACCATGTCATTTTAACCAATGAGTTGTTGACTGTGGGTGGTTTCAGGATCTTCCATGTACTAATGTCGCCGGTACATGACCCCCTGTGTGTCCTTATGCAAGTCTCCCGCTCTCTGCTTTCCTTTCCTAGTGGGTCAGAGGGAATGTGCTTCTCAGAGCATCTCCCTGCTGCCTGTCACCCAGAGGGCATCCTCGTCTGCACCCTTCTCTCATGGGTGAAGGAGTCACCTCATCTGGCCTGGGTCAACCAGGAGGCCACCACTCACTCAGCTTCCGCATGGTCCAGGACTAGGCACCTGGCCAGAGCAGATCTCAATGTGGGACTCTGCTGGGTCACCTGGGAGCAGGAGAGAAATGCAGAGCTCTGGACCCTCCCCAGCATGCAGTCGCTGCACCATGTCGTTTTAACCAATGAGTTGTTGACTGTCTGGGCTCAGGCTGGTGATGGGTGTAGAAGGAAGGTATGGGGGCCCAGGTGATGAGGGACTGCTGCCCACAGGCGAGCATGTCCAGGGGCCTCTGTGGAGTTGGGCTCTGGCCCTAGAGTGGCACCTGGCTGAGGTGTACCAGAGGTGAGGCAAAAAGGTGGCTTTGCCAGGGAGGGGGAGGCACGAGCTGGCTAGGTGTACATGGGAAAGGGAAGAGAGGGGGGATAGCAAGAGGATATGGAAGGGACAGGTGTTGGAGGGGTTCAAAGGGCTGGACTCAGAGAAGGCAGTGCCATGAGGCCCTGCAGACCAGGGTGTGGCCGCAGGGAGGCCCTGGACAGCAGACCGCAGGAAGTGCAGCCCAGGGCCCACAGCCCAGCAGGGCTTAGCCTGGAAGGGAAGGAAGGGCTGGTCCCCCAACACCAGCTTCTCTTTTCCACCCTTGGGAATTCCTCCTTCACCCCCCACACTCACCCCCACCCTAACCCCCAGTCAACTGGGGACTGGCTCCTCCTCAGATACCCCTCCCCCAGGAAGTCGGCCCTGGCTGCCCCTGGTGGTAGTGCCCTCCCCTCCCAATCTTCCTACAGCCCCAAGTGCTGTTCCCCCAGGACGTGGGTGCCAGCCACGAGCCCGCCTTCCTTCTCCCCAGGCTGGGTGTCCACCAGGCTCTGGGCTCCAGGGCTCAGACTGACCTTGCCCATGGGCCCCAGGAGCCCTGCCCACTCACTGCCCTTCAAGCAGAACTCAGGCCCCAACTGTGCTTGTGGGAGGAACCCTGATTACCCAGAGAGCTGCCAGGAAATAAAAGACATGCCTACATTTTTCAAAACAAGCTTATAAAAGGCCTCAGGGCTTTATTGTTTTATTTTTGGCAGAGAAGTCACAGCAGGAACTAAGGCCCGCCCTCTTGGCTCTGATGTTTGCAGAGCTGGGGTCTGTGGCCGCACACGCGGGGTCCCTGGCTCCCCTCCAGGGTGCCCTCTCAGAGCAGCCCCTCCACCCAGCGAGGTGGCACCAGAGAGCCCTCATGCTCTCCCGCACAGGGGACCAGCCAGTCCCACTCACACGCTTTTGGCTGGAAGTCTCTCCAAGAGACTCTCCAGGATATTTCTGCTCTTTCCTGCTTCTATCCAAGTCGGAAATGCCACCAGTACAGTCTCTCTGTGCTTCTTCCTGAGCCAGCCAGGGCCAGCCATGTCCTGCAGGAAAGGCCTGAGTCCCCACAGGCCAGTCCCCTCCTGACCACATATGTCCCCACCCCCCAGGTGAAGCATAGGCCTCTTTCATGCCCCAAGGGCCACCTGGAGTTCACAGTCATTGGGCTTCCTGTAGCATGTGGCCTCAGGGCTTCTCCCAGATGACAAGCTACTCCCTTCCCAAGAGTCTCAGTCTCTTCAGAGGGGACAGGAACACCCCCTCCTTGACCACAGGCCTCCTACACCCGCCTGGGCAAAGAGGGGGCAGTTGCCAGCTGCTTACCCTGCACTCAGCTCCTGTGCTGTCCCATCCTGGGCTGTGACACCCAGTGGCACCTCGTTTTCTCAGCAGCAGGTGCTTGGACACCAGAGAGGTGGCCCCTGTTGGAAAGGACAGCAATACCAGCACTAACCCCAGGGCCTGGGCCTGGGGGCCCGCAGGGAGGGCTGGGGAGACTGCAGTGGGGGCAGAGCAGAAGGCCCTATACACAGCACCACACATTTCCCCTTTCTGTTCCTGGGTATCCTTGCACCTCTCAAGCGTCCCACTGGGCTGGGCTAGGCTGACTTCAGGCCCACATGGCCCCTGGTGTGGGGCAGCACCCGGGCCCTGGATCCCAGCAACAGCCAAGTCTCTGAGAAGAGCATGCTGGTGGGCCCCCTGTATAGGTGAAGGGTGGGATTAAACACACCTCTCATCTGGGGTATGCACCCATTCACAGGATGCGTCCAGCAGGGGTCTGGCCTCACCCTGTCTCCTTGTTTCCATCTCTGTGGTGTGTGTTTTACTAAGTACTATTGAAAGTAGAATAATAATAATAAAATTGATATTTTGCAGGAAGTAGCTTTTGCCAGGCAGCTCGCTTCCCCGGGCCCACCTCACCCAGCCCTTGCCCACTCCCCACCCACACAGGATGCTCAGAGTTCCCAGCTGGAAAGAGGACATCCAAAGAGGATCCTGTCCAGGTGACAGGCCTGCCAGCAGCCTGCTTGCCCAGTGCCTGGCCCCGCTGCCTGCTCCGCTGTGGTCCTGGCCCTGCCCTGCTCTGGCAGGGGAACAGGGCCGGCTTGTTCTGCCTCCTTCCTGGACCCCCGGGCTCTGGGCCCACACCCCGTGGGGAGGCACACAGGAGAGGAATGAGGCCAAGTGCTAGTGGGCAGGCTGGAGCGGTCCCTGCACACACTACACACACCTGAGAGTTGGACTTGCACTTCAAAGGCAGGAAGGAAACCTGGTCCGTCTGTGGGAGCGGGGCCAGGAGGGGGGAGGCAGGAGGGGCAGTGCGGCAGGTCCCACCCCAGCAGGTGGCCCGTGGCGCCGGTGGCAGCAGCCCAGTCCCAGGACCCGCCCTGGGAATAGCAGGCCAGTGTCTGTGGGAGACAAGCCCAGTGTGTGTTGGTGGCTTTGCCTCAATAGCACACAGTCCTCCCCTCCTACCCAGCTGCCATTTCTGGCATGAGGAGTCCCAGAGGCCGGGGCAACCTAGGATGCACCTCCAGCTGCTCAGTCCGCGTCAGCTCCCATCAGAGGGACCCAGACTGTTTCACCAGCAGCTGCAGTCTGTTCCTTCATCAGTGGCCTCCAAGTGGGCGTCTTTGGTGAGGCATGCTGTGCTCTTCCCGTGGCAGGCCCGCCAGCAGACAGGTCCGCCAGGCTTCTGCAGCAGAGGGCCAGGCAGTGGACATCTTCGGCCTGCAGCCATAAGGGTTCTGACTGGTTACTCTGCTCTGAGCCCCACAGGTAGCAAGTGGGCGTGACTGTGCCAGTAAGCCTGAATTTGCAAAACCAGGGTTCTTCATAGGACAGCCACAGTATGGCCTGTGAGCTAGGAATGTTGTTTATATTTTTAAAGGGCTGTAAAAACAAAAACAAAAAGAAGGGAGAGGAATGCACAATAGAGACTGTATGTGGTCCACAGGCCAAAGAGGGTCATTGGCCCTCAGAGAACAGGCTGCTTGCCTGCTGAGGCCATTTGCAACAACCCAAGGTCAGTAAAAATCGGCTTGTCTGGTCCGAAAGAGCCCCTACATGGCCAGGGTGACCGCTTCCAATTCTGCCCACAGCACTGACTGGCCTTCCCGAGAGCTCCCCGTGTTGGGGCTGCACTGGGAGGCTGCCGCCACCGAGGGGACCTGCTGTGACCGGAGGGCCCAGGAAAACAGCGGCTTCACTGGCCGCTGGAGTGGGAGAAAAGGCTTCCCAGGGGTAGCTCCACTGTTTCACAAAAACCGAGGTGACTCTTGCCACTGAGCCATTTCCATTAGGCCTCCCACCCTGGGCCCTTCCCTTGTTAGTGTCAAGTTCCAGTCAGCTCACCCCAAATGAGAGGCCAGCGAGTCACAAGGCCCCCACGGGTCACACTCAGCTTCGACAAGCTCTCACCGGCCCCATCAGCGTCCCAATTTTAAACAGGGTGTGGCTGGGTCCTGCTTCAGCTCCAGCTGTGACCCACCTGCTCCTCTGGGAATCTCGGAGTTTCTGCAAAAGGGCCTGGGCTGGGGCTCTGTGGTGACCTCTTACCCCAACGGCTGTGCCGTGTTCCCTTCTCTGTGAGCCCCTCACACTTGGTATTTCCTGTTTCTTTGATGAAAGCCACCCTGTTGGGAGTGAGGAGGTACCGCTCTGTGGCTTTGACTCGCGTTTTCCTGATGACCCAGCCTGTGCTGATTGGCCATTCATGGATCTTCTTTGGAGAAATGTCTATTTCAGGTCCTTTGCCCATTGTTTAATCAGGTTGTTTTGGGCTGTATTGTTGCATGAGTTTTCTATATATCCCTTATTAGATATGTGATTTGCAGATGTTTTTTTCCCATCTAGTGGGTTGCTAATCGTGCCTTTTGATGCACAAAAGGTTTTTCATTTTGATGGACTGCAATTTCTTTTGTTTGTTCTGTTTTGTTTTGTTTTGTTTTGTTACCTGTGCCTTGGTGTCACCTGCAGGAAATCACTGTCAAGTCCAACGTTGTGAAGCCTTTATCCTGTGTTTTCTTCTGAGTGTTTAATTTTGAGCCCTTGCCTTTAGATCTTCGATCCATGGAACTAATTTTTGGCTGTGGTATTAGGTAAGGGTCCCACTTCATTGTTTTGCCTGTGAACTTCCTGTTTTCCCAGCACCGTTTGTTGAAAACCATTTGACCACACGAACAAGGGGTTATTTCTGTCTGAACATAGTAAATTTAGTTATTTTATTGTCAGATAACTCTAGTATCTGGTGTTTCTCATGTTTCCACTTATTCCTGTTGGTGGCGTCCTGCTTCCTTGCGCGCGCGCGCCCGTTATCTCCGACTGTGTCCTGGGTTTTGCATTTGCAAGTCATTCATGGGAGTGACTTGAGCCTCAGGTGAGACCATCTTCCTCCAGAAAGGGTGTTTCTCTGCTTCCACCTGGCAGGAAACACCTTAATCCAAGTCACAGGCCTGACGGGAGGTGATAAGTCTGCACAAGACTCTTCCTTCAGGTTCACCTGAACTGTATGGGCAGCTGGGGGGGGGGGGGGGGGGGGGGC